GATGGTTTTTTATTGCATGAATCGTTCAAATGGTTATTCAGAAAGAAAAAACGCGGAGTGCTATTAAATTAGAGGGTGGAAATTGGAGATAGGGGTGAAAATGCACCCTTACGGTTTTTTGAGTACCTATATCCCGAAAACGAAGCAAAATTTGAGGGTATTGCATAGGAAAATTTTTGCAGATAATGAGATTTTCTATCGAAATAGCTTATTTAAAAAAATTAAAAAATTTATTTACTGTAAAATATATTAAAAACAATTTAACAGAAAAATGCAAAAAATTCAATTTTTTGTTTTTTTTACTTTTATGCAACTCAGTCTATTTTCATCGAAAAAACTTTTATAACCCACCCTGTAGAACCGTTAAAAGCTTCGCTGTTAAAACTTCGGTAAAAGAAACCTTACCTAAATTGTTTAATAACCTCAATGTAACCGTTTACATGTAATTACACGTATTTTTAGTAATCTGACAACAGATTTGAATGAATACGAATTCAGTGTATAACCGCCGCTTAATGCCTGACACCTAATTGATTTATTAATTAACATTGACAAGATAGTTTTATAAAGACCATTATTATGAGGAAATATATTTAGGTAGTTAATTCTTATACCCTCAAGTAGGTACAAAGGCCGTCGTTTCCACAAAGAAGGGTTTTCTACAAAAAACACACAGACATTTTAAAATCTTCTTTCTTTTAAATTCTTCTCTACAAAACAACTGACACTTTATTTGATTGTAATGAAAAATACGAAAAGACTGAACTTAGGTGGCCATTGATTTAGTTTTCCTTTTTTTATAAGTGTGACAAATTAGAAGTTTAACAACGTAAATATTAACAGTACCTAAGTTGAACATTCTAGTTTCTAATAATGTATAACTATTTTAATAACTTCCGCTATGGTTTAAAACTTCGAAATTACGTCATTTTGCGTCAGTATACGCTCACTTTAAAGCTTTATAAGTGTTCAGTCCAATTCAAATGGCTTACTGCACCATTGCTACGCAGGCGTGGTAGGGGAGACAGAGTGCGCCATAAGCTCCGGTGCGAGCGGGATGGAACAGTACTAGTATGAAAAATATAAAGAAAAGTCGCACGACTATTATCAGTGATAATTACATTTATTAGATATTTAACATGATTGTCCCAAATAAACCTGAACTAATAAAATATAAAAAACCAAGGTGATGCCGACCCTGGCTTTGACCTTGACCTTAATTTTCAAGGTCAGACCTAGGTCAACTTGAAAATATTAAATGGAACACTATTCTTTATGCCAGCAATCAATACAGTGCCAAATTTTACGTCGGAATATGGGATTAGAACATTTTTTTGCATGTCCTTGCAGATAGTAGGATTTTGAATGACAAATAGACGGTGATCTTAGCTTTGACCTAACAGCTGATTAGATATCAGCCTCCAGAATGTCCCTGCCATAAAATTTAAAATTATTAATCTAACAATTTGTTAAATTTCAAACTTACTATCAAAATCTTACTAATGGTTTTAGTTGAATACGTCTAATACATTATATTACTTTCATATCCATTATACAGGGTGGTCCGAATTTATGCAGGAAACTTCGAGGATAGATAGATCTCTTTAAAATAATAGGTGTTTGCCTTATAAACATAGGCCTGGAACGGCCCCGTTTTAGAGATACAGGGTGTTAAGGTTTAAAAAAAAATAATTTTTTGTTTATATCGCACACTACTTCACAGGTGGTGTAGAAAGGAGTGTAAATAATTTTGTTGATGTGCTTACAAATTGCACTTACTTTTAACCATCAACAAATATTCTTGTAATATTATTAGAAGCGTATGCCATAAGGGGATTGTATTGGTATGAATAACTTGAAAACGGCGAATCTTAGGGAAAAAATTAAAGTCACCTTTTTTACGTATTTTGTGTATTAAAATATAAATCAGTTACAATGACATGTAAAAAATGCAGTGGCGTAGGTTTTTTTGTAAAAAAGGGGGTGACTCTTGTCTTGTTGTACACCACTGGTTGAACCTTTAAAGCTCATATTTTATAAATACGAGGTCTACTATCATACATTATCTGCACTAAATTTTATTGAAATTGGTTAATAGATTCTGGAGATATAAGCAAAAAATCAATTTTTTTAACAACTTCAACACCCTGTATCTCTAAAACGAGGCCGTTCTAGACCTATGTTTATAAGACAAACATATTATTTTAAAGAGGTCTATCTGCCCTCGAAGTTTCCTGCATAAAATTCGGACCACCCTGTATTTTCTAAAGAATAAGTTTGACCTTCAATTAATGAACTGCAAGGACATCCTGGAAAATTTATTAGATCCCACATTCCGACGAAATTTAGCACTGCGATTGCTGGTATAAAAAATATGTCACATTTAAATCTAAGGTCACCAGCGCATTGGTTTCTTGGTGTCCTATCAGGCGTAGCTTTTTTTGGTAGGACTTAATTATCAAAAGTTACCAGGGCTTTGATTCATTTTGGGACATTTTGTTACAGTAATTGGTTTCTCAAAAATGAATAATTATGAATTATAATCAGCGGAGCCAATTTTTTTTAGAAATTAATATTAAGCATCATGTGAGAGCAATCATATCCATTTACATAACGTATTAAGTATACCTACCGCAAATTTCAAGATAATGAGGTCAATGTTGATAGGCGAAACCACAAATTGTAGCGACTCATGTAACTGGCAAAATACTAATACAATGTAAACAATTAATTTTAAATTAAATATCTACTGGCGTCAAACATAAAGTTCTAAGTCACATCTTCAGAGAGACAGTATAGCCATAAATTCACATTAAATATAAAAAATGTTTAATTAAATCTTCATCAATGTCGTTTACTTTTTACTGTCACAAAAGTATTGCCGATTAGATAAATATTAAAATTAGTGTGAGTAATTCAAGAATACATAATTAATAGAAGCACACAACTAGTCACTCCACAAAGCATTTAAATTGGATGAAAATAATCTTGAATTTGTTACAGGAATTGATATCATTCCACACCTCGAAACTAGGAAAATACAGAGAGTGGTCGTCACATTTACACCCACTTAAATATTAAGGTCTGTGCGTAAAATTTCATCCGGCTAAGATGTCCTTGAAATTTTACATATTTCAAATTACATAATTCACTTTATAAAATAAATTGGTAGAACAGCAGAATTAATTTACAATAATTAATTAAATTTATTAGTAGGTAATTATAAGCAGAAGCTAAAATGAAGATAATACATGTGACGAAAGATTATCAAGTGATGACAGCTTATTAATGAAATGGAATGCTGCAAATTTCTTCATTTATGAGAACAAATGAGAAATATAATATTCGCAAAAGCAAAAATGTTATTATTTAATACGGACTCTTGAAATGATTTCTCCTCTCACATTCTCGTTATTTTTTATAAAACTAAGCTTAGTTTTCTTGTTTTCCGGATCCGGATGTGATTCAACTTTCATCTTGCGGTCAAGGTCAAGGTCACAACGAGTTCAATGTTGAGAATTGAAAAAGACATATTTGAGTACGTTACGAAGTGAGAATAAGTGACGATGACTTAAAAAAAAATGAAAAATATTACGTCACTATTTGTGGACCATTGAATTACGAGGCATTTCATCACTATTCCAGGGTTAACTCTTGATTTGATCATCAAATGAACTTTTAATTTGACCTCCTACTACTTTGCAACGTACTCGGGTGTAGAATTTTCCTTTTCCAGGATCCAGCCTCAGGCATACAGGTACCGAAAAAGAAACACAGTCAACATTCAAATGACCTTCAAGATCACCGATTCATGGACTCGAACATCCTTAAAAACATTTGTAGAGGTCATCAAGGTCTATTTCTGTAGTCAACCTTCAAATGGCCTTGAAAGTCAAGGTCAAGGTCAAGTCCAACGTCATGAGTACCTTGATGAAAATCTCATCGCCTTTGGGGTACACATCTTATTCTGAGTTTGCTTCGAGGATAACGAATTGTTTGACCTCGCTGTGACCTTCACCTTCACAGCAAGATCAAAAATGAGAATCCATCCGGATGTACAATTTTCTACCGAATCCATTGCCAGGGTAAAAAATAAAGCGTCCCATTTAAAATTATGTAGTTGACCTTCAATTGACCTTCAAGGTCTTGCTTAAGGTCAAATTCAAGGTCAGCAACCCCTTTCCTTTAGTGAACTGAATAACTTTTATTTATATCATTTATGGATCGGATGCTGAGATATTCATGTGCATCGACTATGGAAGAACCACAGTTTCTTCAAGTTAAAACAATACGGTTTAACTAAACTTACCCCTACCCAGAGTTGCTTTATTTATCTGCAACAAAAATTTAGTTTTGTCCACTTAACTCTAAAATGCTCTGCCCAATTTAAATGAATCGCTGTGAGTATGACGGGGTAACATTTTTAATTCAGTGTATATTTATTTCCATTTCGTACTAATCATTAGGCAATCATTAGATAATCAGTCATCATTTTTCTATTTTCCGGTAGCTGAAACTAGTAGGAAAGTAAAAGGAAAATTAATGTTTATCTGAATTAAAAAAAAAATAAAATTTATATCATGAATGTATTGGAGATGACTAATAAAACAATTAAACACGTCCTGTAAATATAATCACTTTAGTTTTCATTTCAAAAAACGGTGTATCTAGAGAATTACAACTCTAAAGCTAAATGAAGCAACTTCGAAAAAGACGTTTAGTTAAATCATCTAAATCATTTTGAGAAGAGAATATATGGTTTCATGTACAAGAAATATTGAAACACCCGATATAAGGATAAGTGTTTTTTTAGAAGGTACTTACTTTTTGGAAATTCAATCTTTGTGTTTAAATTTCAAAGTGGAAATTAAGAAAACAGGCAAACAATAATCGGAATCTAAATATCTTTAAATTGTGCTTACGTACTTATTAAAAAAAATGTACCTATGTTTTTATTTTTAAATGTACTTATGTACTTATGAAATGAATTTATATTTCAGACCAGAAAATACCATATTTACCGGTTTGGAGATAACAGACGATAGAATATTTCTTGCTATTCCCAGCCTAAGAGCAGGTGTTCCAGCTTCCCTAGTTACTCTTCCCAAAAATACTCCTCCAGGATCAAGTCCGGCACTCCAGGCGTACCCTGACTGGTCGTATCATCGAGCTGGTAACGCTAACTTGACTTGCGATGGCCTAATTTCTGTTTACAGGATCAGAACTGATTCCTGTAATAGATTATGGGTAAGAAAGATTTGATTTTGTCATTTCCAGCAGTTGTTGTCATACCAAAATACTTTTAGTTATTTCTTAATACAGTTTATAGAGGATGTTCCTTAATTCAATTGCCAAATGGTGTTCTGGCATTAAAACCAATATAGAAGGTTCAGAAACCAAATGGAAAATAATCTATTGATGTTTTTCTTTTACTACACTCAGAACCATTTCAAGTATCATTACTTTAGTCAATGTTTCTATGTGGGTCCTACACATCAAACTTTTTTCTATTTGTGTAAATTTACTTAATCTGATACTAATACCACAATTGGTTTAGAAGTAATTTAATAAAGCCACTGTCAACAACTTAGTTTTGTTCTTTTGACTTACCATTGACTAAGGAACACACCAAAGACGTTTGACAGTTGAAATAAGGAACAATCAGTGTAATACGAGTACATTTTTTCCAGTTGCTGTAGACTGGTCTTCTATTTGTAGGTTCTCGATGCAGGAGTGATGACCTCCATTGATTCCTTCACAACAGTTTGTCCACCAAAACTGGTAGCGTTTGATCTGAAAACAAATCAACCAGTCAGGGTATCCGTACTTCCAAAGGAGGTTATCAGACCTTTTACTGCCTTGACAAATTTAGTTATTGATGAGAGCGTTCAAGGAAAATGTGATTCAGCTTTCTTTTATATCACTGACACCACGACACCAGGTAAGCACACTATCCGAAAGAGTTTTTGTGGGATTAGTTCAGTCAAAAACTCGAAAAATATTTTTCTGACAAAACTACTCGTATAGTCTCTCATGATTTCAGTAGTCTCCGGATTTGTTAGTGTAATAGTTGTATGATTGGTAAAAAAAATAATCAAAACATAATTGTATTTCATTGGTTATAACATAATGAGAGGAATAGCAATTGAAAACTTATTTTAATTCTTGGATATCGGTGATTTGTTTTGTATATCCTGTCAATTAGTATAGAATATAATAATATAGAATAGAATAAAGGACTTTTCTTTTTACCTTCATAATTTTAATGTAAATGAGTTGTACTTTTTTTTTATGAAAATTACTTGCTAGTATAACAGAATACCTACGTAACGATTATATTCAGCTTCATACAATGGTAATGGTTCTGTTCAAATAATTGTCCCACATACTGATATACCTGTGGAGTAACTTGATGGTATTAATTAATTAAATGTTGTTGGAAGTCCTTTAAAGAGATCGGTGATATACTTCTTAATTGAGAGAATGGAGATGAACAGATAAAATGCATTGTCTCAAATATTTGCAGATTAAGTGTCAAGAAACTTTTTTTAAATTTGGTACAAATGTTTATCTTTCTTTTCGCTATTAGCCACAATTGAGAAAAATTAATAATCATTGGAATAGAACTGATAGCATAAAATTGCTAATAAGTGATAAAATTTTTGTATAAAATCATGAAAATATCGATAAATTTATTTCAAGCCTTTCTAACAAATTGTGAAAGAACTAAATCCAAAGCACAAAGTTGTATCAAGCACTCGATGTACGGATGAAATACATGCAAAAAAAATATATTCTCAAACATTTCTAAACGTTCCATGAACGATATGTATACTTGTCAAGCTTGCGTACACTTACCATATTTTTTATGATTGTGGTAAGTGAAGATATACCTTCAAACGTGTCGAGCATCCACACAATGCTGCATTTGCATACCTACGTTTGACAAATATTTGGTACATCGTCTGGATCCGGCTTTATATTTAATGTTTTATTTGATATTTAAACAACATATCGCCTAAGCACTATCTGCGTATTTCAATAGAAAAACATACTGTTCAAATTTAATTTTTGAAGTAATCACAATAAAGTGGTTAATGAAAGCAGATAAGTGGTATACCTTTTGCACCATGTGTAATGTTTGAGAAATTTAGATGATTCATTTCATAACAGTTTGTGCCTGAAAGAGCTTTAATATAAAGCAGTATTGCAAATTGTTATATGACCTTGCAAAACTTACTCTATAACATGTTTTTCTGATAAAATGTAACAATTGCAGAAAACTAAATAAAAAATCTGTGTGATTTTAGGCCTGATTGTGTACGATGGCAAAAAGGATCAAGCCTGGCGATTCTCGCATCCCACGATGTACCCTAATCCAGATTCGGCTGTTTACGATATCGCCGGAGACAGATTCTCTTTCATGGACGGCATTATAGGCCTAGCCCATTCCCCTCAATTAGCTACGTTGTTTTTCCAACCATTGGCGACCGAGAGGTAAGCTGAAGTCAATTTAACTAACGGGTTCGATCCAACTGATAGACAACATCACTTTTCGAAATTAGTATATTTGAATAGCGTCATTTCCATATGTGATATTCTAAATAAAATGTTTTGCAAACTTAAAGTTGTAATATACCTAATATCGATCCACAAACGGTGACCAAAAATGATACCTTGTATGCTTTGGTGAATTTTAAAGGGAGTATTTATCTAGGACGCTTCGTTAAAAAGATACAGGGTGTAAAACTTAAAAAGTATTTTTAATTTTTTTTTTAAATAATTTAAAAACCAGTAAGTGAAATAATTTGGAATTAGGATCCTGTATATACGTAAACATTCTCCAAAATTTGAGGCCTTTTCCTAAAATGTAGATGCTCCATTGGCGGAGATACGGGATATCGGCAGCATGTTTTTCCAAATAAAACAGTACGCCACTGCTTTACGGTAACAATCATGATATTTTAGGATTCGTCTTTCAATTTTCTACAAATTGCAAATTTTTTATATTTTTCGAAACGGCCTTATTTTCTAGTAAAACTTAATGAACGAACTGAATAATAAAAAATTTGAATTACCAAACTATCAAAAACTTGCGTGTACCATTATTTTTTTTTATACCAGTAGTCTATTCTAGTCTTAGAAATTGTTATAAAAATTAATACTTGCTTAAAAAAATGTTTGTGTTTTATTAATTATAAAAAATTTTCTTTTTGTTGTCCATGGTCTTGCAATAAAATGATTTTAATTTTTTTTCTCTAAAAAGGAAGCAAGATACGAAAAAAATTCAAGTGACCAAAGTTGTATTTTAGTGCGAAAAAATTATAAGAGTTTAAAAAAAGTCAGTGGCGCACATTTTTCTTTGTCAAAGATGCTGGTTAAGGTGCCCCCCGGAATGCCACTGGACTTAATAATTTTAATCCAGTCAGGGCTAAATTAACTCCTTTGTACTATAAATAACAGCTAAATTTCAACAAAATCGACTAAAGGATTAAGATTTTTACGAAAAAACGATTTTTTTAAAAAAGTTTGACACCCTGTATCTTGAAAACGGAGCATTGCTCGACTTATGTTTATATGAACTTTTCATTTTAGAATCACTTAAAGAACACATACTTAAATAACACCCTGAATATTTGAATACTCTAAGCAATATTTCAGAACTAATTCTTGAATAATTCATTGATAACCGCACTGCCTTACGTTAACATTTTTAATTTAGAATATATTTTGTATCTCAACTCTGATCCAGAAGTTTAAGCAATTCAAATTACCATCAACGAAACGTGAAAAATTATTGCACACCAAGGTGCAAACTGAAAGATAAATTTAATTATATCAGATAAAGCCTTGACTCTGGCTAAAGTGAATTTTTATTGCAAGTCAGCCCCCTGATTAAACTAAGTGAGGACGAGAATATTGAATTGAAGTAATTCCAGGAAAAATTAAAGATGTATAAATGGATCCGATAGAATTAAATTGAGAAATCGCCTATAAGATTTATAGTTTTTCTTAGATAAGTTCTAATACGAAAGAAACAAATTGCAAGAAGACGTTAGCAATTACTGTCATGGTATCTAAATATAGAAGTTAGAATTATAGAAGACAAAAATTCTACCGGGTTCCGCAAAACATTCTTATTTATTTTTATTATTTATATAATTCTTGTTATTTGTAGCAGTGCCATATTCTAGCGTTCTTTAGCGAGAAAAATTTACGCAAATGATACAACAAGAGCGACAAACAAATTGTATATGTGCTTACAAGTGATCTCTTTAGATTTCTTAACATTTCTATGAATAAACTACTCTCTGTTGTTCCAAAAATACCGACACTGAAGAAGAGATCGGTATATGTCTCGAAATGTTAAGAAATCTAATTTGACAACAATACATTATCAAAGCAACACATCCTAATAACAGAACTTTGTTTTTTTTTACTAATTATATTTTTTATGTCCTAGAATATTCAGCGTTCCCACTGCTGCGTTGACTAAAGGACCTCCAGCAGAACTTGAAGAGTTGCCAGTTTCATTAGCAGGCCGAAAGTCTTCTCAAGGGTTAGGCTTAGCGATGAATCATGAAGATAATACACTTTTCTTTGGGCCATTCACGGAAACCTCAATTGCTTCGTGGAACGTTGTCACAAATGATCAAAAGTAAGTAGTATTATCATCTGTATATATATATTTTTTTCTGAATCAATTAATGCTATTGAATGAGAAATGTAACCAATCTTTTCACTAGCGGTATGACATAAAGAAGATTATTCATTTAATCCCTAACACCTTTCTCACTTTTTAACCCTCTTCAGCTAAGATCTAAGCAGTTCAGTCTAATAAAATGTTAAAATTTTTTATAAAGATGGAATAGGTAGAACCAGACAATATTTTAAATGTACATTAGAATAATTAATCTAAAAAGATGGCCTAAAACATTTCAAAATATCTCGAACATTACATATTTTTTTTGTATTCTAATCCTAATCTGCGAAGTAGTGTTTGGTAATATCAGTTATATATGGAGAGAAATTATAGAGCCATTCATCAAGTAGGTAAGTGTTCTAGGCATTCTCATGTGTTTTGTGATCAGTGATTCGGCTAGAAAATATGTTAGAAAACATTGCGATGCAAACGTGTAACATTGGCAGCATTTACTTCTGAAGAATTTTGTGACATAGTTAAGAACATAAGATGCTCTATAGGAAATTGTAACTGCATGTAATGAGAATTAATAGAGGAAAGTCCCTGCTGGGGGGTACTGGTTATGGTAAGTACGAAATGGTAAATTTTACGTAAAAATCACTTTTATCCAAAGATGCACACCATTATCGCACTGTAGCTGGCTATTTTGTACATAGGAATTTTGTGAATAGCTTTTAGAGTGTCGTTTCTTTTCTTAGCCTTCATACAGTCCAGATCTCAAATTGATAGATTTCTTTTTGGGGATATATGAAGAACTTGGTATACGTTCAACCAGCTAACAGAGAACAAAACCAAGTGAAATGTCGCAAACAAAATTCGTGTCCTCAATGTAATGGGCAAACTTTCGAACATTTTACTAAGATTCTATGTTTCATACGATCTTCATATGTATTACTTATTTGATCGTATTTCTGAATTTCTTCTAGTTGGCATTTTATTTTTATCACATTTAAATAAATTACTCTGTATTTTTAATTATTCAACGTAAAGGTGCATAAATATTAGAGTTTACTATATGTCTAAGCATCAATGTGTTTACAATTGTACCCAAAATGATTTTCCCTGCTCTTGATTTTATTTTTTATTTCATGCTTTAATTCGTAAAAGCAATGTGTTCAAAATCCCCTAAAGATGTGGTTTTTATAACAGGAAGAAGACTCTCGTGACACTGATTTTTTTAAATAATAATAATGGGTTTATCTGGTTTTAATGACGTTCCATGGCTCTTCGTTACTTCTGATTTTCCACAGTAATTTTTTAAATGTTAAAATATCACGTTATTAACTTCTATTAAATATCTATCTGAAATTTCTGTTATTATACAGGGTGTCCCGCATAAGTATCGACACAGGGTAGACGCATGTAGGGATGCCCAAAATATTGTAATTTAACCAAAACTATACAGGTTGTCAAAAAAAGAGTGTAAAATATTTAAGGAGGTAATAGTATGAACCAAAATAAGCAGAAAAGTCTCAATAAACATGGGTCCGCAAAGTAACGGTTACGGAGATATAGAATGTTTTATGTTTTTTATCCCCCTTTTTTATTTTGCAAAAACGTTGTGTATTTTCTTATAATAGTTGGTTGATGTTTAGTGAAATAAACAGTACGTATTTGACAGTTGTTCTCAGTGCACAAGTTTTCTTTCGCTATGGCTGGTTACTCTAACGCAGAATTAACAGACATGCATTTCATGTATGGTCGTGCTAATGGGAACGCCACCGAAGCGCGACGTCTTTATGTTGACGCTTATCCAAATCGCCAGATTCCTTCACAACGCATGTTTGGAAGAATTCACCAAAGATTGCGTGATACCGGTTCCTTGAGCAAACAGTGCCATTTATCCGGAAGACCAAGGTCGGTATCCACTCCTAGAGCAGAAGAAGAAATTCTAGCACTGGTAGAGCAGAATCCAGGTACGAGTGTGCGGAGAATATCAGCCGAGGTAGGAATTAGTGGTCCTCTTGTTTGGAGAATCCTTCACGAGCAACTGCTTTATCCATACCATGTGCAACGAGTACAGGCCTTAAATCCAATAAATGATCATCAAGCACGTTTGGTTTTTTGCCGCTGGTTTCTACGTCATGATGCTGAAGACCCTCGTTTTCTTGCAAACATTCTTTTTACTGATGAGGCCGGGTTCACAAGAAATGGAGTGTTTAATTTTCACAATACGCATATTTGGGCCGACGAAAATCCTCATGCTCTAATAGAATCTGGACATCAGGCACGTTTTTCATTAAACATTTGGATGGGTATTGTAGGTGACAGGTTTCTAGGTCCTGTTGTTTTACCAAACCGATTAACAGGCGCTGCTTACCTCAACTTTCTGCAGAACACACTGTATGAGTTTTTGGAAGACATTCCTTTGAATCAGAGGCAACAAATGTGGTTCCAGCATGATGGTGCTCCAGCTCATTTTTCCATGGCCGTTAGAGAGCATTTACACCAAACTTTTCCACATAGATGGGTAGGAAGGGCCGGACCTGTTTTATGGCCTCCAAGATCGCCTGATCTGAACCCTCTAGATTTCTTTGTTTGGGGATATTTGAAGACATTAGTGTATGGTACTCCTGTAAATAGCCTGGAAGAGCTGCAGCTACGGATTAATCAAAAGTGTCAAGAAATCCAAACCAAGGAGGGTGTTTTCGAAAGAGTTCGAATATCGTTGAGACGAAGATGTCGTGCCTGCTTGGAAATGGACGGAGGGCACTTTGAACATCTTCTGTAACTTTGTTTTTTGTTTGTTAAAAGCTTCCTTTGTCGGTTTATTCCTAATAAAATAAAATGTTTGAAAAACGAATAGTGGTCCATATCTCCGCAACCGTTACTTTGCGGACCCATGTTTATTAAGACTTTTCTGCTTATTTTGGTTCATACTATTACCTCCTGAAATATTTTACACTCTTTTTTTAACACCCTGTATATAAAGTTGCACCCCTGAGGCGTTATTAGCCCCCAAAGTGGGGCCCTAAATTTCGAAACAAAACAATCTGCAACATTTTACCGTAGAAAAATCAAATTTGGTACATGATTTAGGTTTATTACTGGTCTTCTTTGACTATTATTTGAAGTTAATTGAAGCACTACAAGAGTTCATTGGGGATGACTCACCACTAAAATTGTACCGAATTTTTTTTTCATTGTCCGAATGGAAAAATACAAATATTAATTCAAGGCAGAATTTACTTTTAATTTTTTTTGCTCTCGTTAAATTTTAAAAAACTTTATGGTGGTCAAGAAAAACCGTATTACACAAGATTTTAATAGTGTTCATTAGAAAATAATCAAAATGTCAGTAGTAGGCTTTATCTTTCTAATTTGACAATTGGCCAAATAAATTTGGCTTTTTCTACAAAAAGAAAACAAGTACCTAGGTAGTTTTTAAATAAGCGAATATTGTATTAAGTAAAACACTCAAATAAATAATCTCAACAACAATCAGAGGCAATTGTTGAAATAAATTAATTTTATTACTAACTGACAAGTTTGAAAGATAAATTGATTGCCTACTACTGACTTTTCGATTGTGTTGCAGAGATATTATTTTTTTTCGAAATTTAGGGCCCCACTTTGGGGGCTAATTACTCCTCAGAGCTGCAACTTTGTAGATAGGTAAGTTTGGTTAAATTACAATATTTTGGCCCCATACATGTACCTGTCTTGTGTCGGTACTTATGCGGGACATCCTGTAGTAAAAACTATATTGTCAAATTTTTATCGTTGTTTTGAAAGCTGCACAATAATACTAATTAAGTCAAATGTACGACACAGCCATAATTTTTTGTGTTGATGATATTTAACGATGATATTTGGAGATAATTTTAGTGTTTCATTTTCTTTAAACTAGTACAAACTCTCATCAAATATTTTTACACCACTATTTTATTTTTGTTTACTATAAATACAAAGCTAAATTATATAAAAATGTTTCTATAAAGAATGTTAAGTATATAAAATGTAATTTTTCAAAAATATATTGTAATATTTTGAAAATCTGCAAGATTTTCACCACAATTCCATAACGTTCGTAATGGTCACTGAAAGGTAAACTAGCGACTATGAATTGAAAAATTAAATTGAAATAATGGTTCGTTGATCATTTGCACCCGTATGTTCGTCGAATTCCACGCTTTGTGAGTTCGACTGTTATTCGAGTTTTGTCACGAAATTCCTCTGTGACCCATTTACACATATTTTACAGATTTATGTCTGGCAGAAACCAATGTGTTCAGGTCAAAAATACATACAAATTTATATTTTTGCCAATAAACTATCGGCAGAATGCAATAAAATAGATAGAAAATAGATTAATGGTTTCATGTTTCAATATAAAGGCAGAAAATAATTAAAGAGTTTGTTACAAGAAGCGATAAATTCCATTTCGAGCAGTAACTATATCAAAGATGATAAGTATCAAAGCGACTTCGCCTTTGATTGTTTCATAAAATGTTTGTTGTTGAAAATTTGTTCTGGCTGTCCTGCCAAATTTTATATTGTTCAGTATAATAAATAACATTTATTTGAGCTGATGATATTTCAAGAAATAACTACTCTACGAGTTACGTACCCTAACCAGCATTGAATTGTACCAAAGGCATTCAGCTGAAACCATCAGACATATACCGGTTTTGAACTTAATAATTCTCATCAACATATCATAAAATAAGGAAGAATGTTACAGCTATTTTAGTATCTTAACTACAGATATGGAGTGAATATAGCTTATATGCAAATGTAACATCCATGAATGGTCAGTCAAAACTTTCAAACGACCAAACTAGCGGAGAACGACCTGCTGTGTGGCTTGACAGATCTTGCTTTTATAGTAGCTGCGAAATAGCAGGTCTCTCTCTATCGATCACCTTCACCGCCTTAGCAATGAGTAGAAGTGGCCATTCTAAATATAGAATTTGCATCTCACCAACTTACTTGGTTTACCCTTTTATTCACATAAATAAAGTAATAATATGAAAAAAATAAATAATACCTATTTATACAGGGTGGCCCAACGAAAACGTAACAGAGCCCATACCGGCTAGGAACATTTTTTTTTGGAAAAACGCAAAAATCCGTCGATTTTGTTTGCGAGGGGGACATCTTTTTGCATGAATTAGATGGTTCTAACTGCTACCCCCTGAGTGGGGTAAACATCCCCTTCAAATTTTTAAATGGGGAGGGTGGTCAAGTTGCATACCGTTGAAAAGCTCTTTTGATTCTCTACACAGTCATGGGTCCCTTTTGAACATCAACCCATTTTTTTAAAAGATAAAGGGTGCAGAACTTAACACATACAAAATTTCCTATTATCTCTACAAATTATTCTCTAATTAAAATTCGCTATCGAGTTCGCTGTTAATTTCAAAATCATTAAGTTAAAGAAGCGTATAAACATATCCAAATGGCTGGAAATAAATTGACCAGCAACTTCCATTTTTTGACATATTATCTTGAAAGCTGTTCAACGGATTTCGATGAAATTTGGTATCGTAATACGAAAATGGTATCAATTTCACCATTGCCGCTAGATGACGCCACCTAGAGCAGCATTGGTTCGTTAACATGGCCATAACTTTTTTGTCCACCCTGTATATATACATTATTAAACAAAATAAAGAAATGACATTCAATTTCACACAAAAAAGGTATAATTTAAGGTTTAAGTCAAAAAGTAGACCGTTTTCGAATTAAACGTAGTTTTTCAATGAGATTAAATAAAAAAACTTTATGTCAAAAGGTTATGCAAAATCAAACATTATGTATTCTCAAGGTGTTCAATACTAGTGGATGTTAAGTGTATCCGTTGCAAAATAAAATGAAAATGATCAAAATAATTTAGTTTTTAAGATTTTTACAAAGCAATTAAGTAATAGCGATTTCTTGTCGGATATTTTTCAGTCATTTAACGAGATGCTGCGGTTGCACTTCGTCGACACTCATCATAGATTAAAAGCACGTCTACAATTTCATTATTTTTGTAAACGTGTGCCATCGTTTGAAGAATGCATAGAACGACAAATAGCAACGAACACAGCTATCAAAATAAAAGTTGGTCAGGACCGTATTTAATTTTTTTTATAAAATTTGTAATGATTAATGCCTTAGTTATTTTGCAAGTTTTGTATAGATAACTTTATGCAGTAATTTTAAATTATATTTTAAATCAAGTAACCACTGAGCAGCTCCGGGGCTGACTGTATGTGCGGGCCTACCAGTGTTGACTGTTGTTACCGTTTTAATACAACTATGGAAAAGAGATCGAAACTACAATGGAAAATGGTTTTGTAAAACTAGATAATTTTTGTATGACTTTGTGATACGTTATTTTAACATCACCATATTTTATTTTACATATTTCAATGCTGATGAAATGCCGCACATTAAAAAAATGTTTGAGTGTTTCCAAAAATTAATATTTTTTGGTAATAATTGGTATGTAGATCGCATTTCGGAAACTAATTTATGTTTGAAAATAATACTTTTTGTGGTTTTATAAAATGTGCAAAATAGAAAATAAATAAAAACATTGTTGACATGCATATATCTGGAATGCGATGTTCATTTGTTTTTTTTTTGTTTTAAATTAATCCCTCATAGAAAATTTTCGAAATACACAAAGGCAGGTTTACGAATGAATGTACGCGGCAACACTATTTATTTAAAGAAATTGTGTTACAATTACTTGTATCACTTTATCAATATTTATATACTATACCTTTACATAAAAAACAGTCCTCAAAATGGCTGATATATATTCACCATGTGTATATTAATATCCCACATATGTATTTATTTAGTAAAATATGCGATTTTTATTTGTATCAAGCTTACTCAAATGCTTCCTTTGACTATTTCAGCGTCCTGGCTTACGACCCAATAAATCTCCAATTTACGGCAGAACTGAGGTGGAAGCAAGATGGTAGTTTATGGATATTAAGTTCAAGATTCCACAGGTTCTTTAAGAGAACCGTAACACCAAACGAAATCAACCTGAGGATAATGCGGATTAAGCTTGCCAGACCAGCTCTACCCCAGACCTACACCAATTTCTATTTCTAAATTATAGAGTATATAGTGAAGTGCCGCAAAAGCTAAAGTCCCCCTTAATTTTTCATCATTTCATTTAAAGCCAATTCCCTGCCAGTTTTTTACTTTGTTGGAATAAGGAATCTAATTTAGTTTCTCCTTAGATCTAAAATACAGTTCATAATAGACTGCACTGTGTCTACCAGAGGAACATAAAATATAATCTGATGAGAAAATGAAAAGCACATAATCTTAATTTTAAATTATAACTAAATATGTCATGTAACTGAAAAGTAAATGTTATTTTAGATCATTTTTAGGACAAGTTAAGGTTTTGTGATCTTTAATACTATTTACTTATTTACTTTTTAATTTTATACAAAAAAAGTACTGTCAAAATTGGCCAAAATAACATTGCTGTCGAAATAACATTCGTCTTTGTTAAAAAAATATCCATAGTTCATAGGAAAAATCTTATTTTTTTTTGTTTTATTTACCTCGAAGATTTAGAGTAAGTTATTTTAGAACATTCTGTATATGAGGTGCTGACAATCACTTTTGCAGATATCTGTTTCGTCTAATAATTGTAAAGATAACTCTCCTTGTCTTACGTATTATTTTATACATTTGTAACCTAGATATGGTGAGTACTGTATTTGTTTACAAACTTAGAGAAGATATTTGAATATATTAAATAAATTGACCTGTGAAAACTTCCTTGGCAGAAATAGTTTTTGCAAATCATAACTCTTAATTAATACCTTCTAACTTGATACATATCGATGTGTGACATATGATGAAAACTTTTTGGAACCACTGACATCGATAGCTCTGTATTTGTTTAGTATCATTTGCCATTTTAGAATTTATATTCGCATTTACTAATACACAGGCGCATTGTCATTTCACAAAAAAGTAAGAATTAAAAAAAAAATAAATTATTCCAGTAAAACATTTGTTCACTAATAATTTTCACCATAAAAACTTAAATTTGAACTAGCAATTTTTGTGTTTAATACAAAAAATGAAAATGAGACAAACAAGCGGGCGACATCCTATTTAAGGCAACAGCTGTTCACGCACTTTTACGTAGTATGTAAGTTAGAGTCGATCCAGAGGTTCTCAATAAGTTTTCCAATTTTAATGATGTTGAATATTAAAAAATGGTTATTATCAATGTATTGTACCTACTATTAAAAAAATCATTTACGAATTTGTGAACACGCTATATATTAATCGTTAACTTGTTAATTTATTAATGTATAAATTTGAATTCTTCGCGAACTTTTCAGGTCCATGCCTCATTTGTTTCATATTAATTTAAAATGGATTTTGTTTTCTTTTGAGTACATTTTTATCGCAGTTTGATTTTTCTCCTAAATAATTTTTTTTATAGTTCCAGTTCTGTTGTAATAAAAATTAATTAAATTAAACAATGTATTAAAGATTATATTTATTTAATAAGTGTTGTTAATTAATAGGCAAATATACTTATTTATACGGAGTATATTCACACTAATCTGTTTACTTGAACATTTTGTTTCTGAGTTGATAATAGACATTATCTTGACATTTGTGACAATAAAAAATTAAAAACGAAAATATTTGTAAAAACTAATATAGGAATGTGTACTCATATTGATATAGCAATGTTCCAAAGGTAAGTCTACCATTTAAAACACTACCTATAAAATTTTCAACCAACTCGTCGATTTTATATTTTTTTTGTATCTAAGCCCTAGTATTACTCATCTGAAGTTATTTATTCATACGAAAGCCAGCGATATAGGTGTAGATCATGGAACCGAATATTAGATCTGTGTCCTAGAAACTGACATTTGCTGGACTAATTTAATAACAAGTACCAGCCAGTAAACGCGTACTAATTGAGATATAAAAACGTTAAACGTGGAAAATTATATATGAAGGTTGTGTAAATATAATAATCAAATCGCATATAGGTGCTGTTGTATTAAAAAATATACCTACATGTTCGTATATGGTATTATGTTTATAAATGTTGTTACGAATTTAGGTAAATGGTATTTATAAACCATAGACCTTCATGGGGCTTTTTACATGTATATTTTTTGTCATTCTCTATTTGCACTTATTATAAATACAGGGTGTTATAAGTTTGACTTAATTTTAACAGACGATAGAATACATGGGTCATCATACTCAACCATTTCCGAGAAAAAAATTATCAAAATCTCCAACTTCATGTACAAAAGTTCGATTAATTAAGGAATATTGACATAACTGCGTGCATAGAATACCATAAAATACAATGTTTATCATTTTTTTAAATTAATTCATGCTTAATTTTAAAAAATAATTAGTGTTGTAATAAGTTTAACATTCGATAAAATTCATATCGAGCATTGTGACAACGGCGCGACGGATAATACGAGGTACTAAGCTGTCCAGCATTACGCAATTCAGTTGGTATCTGGAATTGGACCGTGTCTAAGTGTTTTTTGCATTCCACTATTTCCTTTTCTTGAGGTGTTTTCCAGCGAGTTCGCGAAAATTGTCATGTGTGCATCGAAAATGGTGGTGGACATTTTGAGCATATGTTGTAGTCTGTTTTGTACTTGTGCGTTTAAAAATTACTGAATTTTGCTTTTTGGTAAGTACCTAAATTATGTTTAACACGTATGATTATTTGGAGAACGTGAATCTTTGGGTACTTTAATGACATATTTTTAAATTCATAAATAATTCATTTGATTAAAAGTTTGATTAAAAGTTTAGTTCCTGTTTTAAGAGATTCATAATTACTAAAATTCGATATAAAATTTAAGCACAACACTATCTTCGTACTATAAAATCCATACATTTTATTTTATTTATTTAGTAACTGGAAAATAATTGTCTTGAAATTTACTAAATGTTTCACAATAATAGTTGTTTATATTTTTTCCGTAGGACAAGTCTGCCGCGTGCACACGTGGTATGCATCAGCTGTGTGGCGTTAGATTAAGCGTTGTTGTCACGTTGTGATGAAACTACCCAATATTAATACTCGCTGTATTTTAAAATCTGTGAATCTTACGCTCCTGTAATATAAAACTTTTTTGTTCATTTATGATTACTCTATCTCATTCTGATGTAATATCAGTCAAACTTCTTACACCCTGTACATGTGTGTTGACTATTTTAGTCTAGATAAATTATTCTGTCAACAAAAAAAATTGTGGGGGATCTATAATTTCTATTTCTTTTTGTTTTAAATATGCAGGGTTTGATAAAAATTTGTTATTTTGCAAAATTTTTGTATTTGGAATAGTTTCGGGTTAACAAATTTTTTTCTTAGATCATTACATTTCGACTCAAACTTGAGATAATTATGTCACTTCAAAAATAATTTATTTGATAACAGAAACAAAATAGTTTGTAATAGACTTTTCTCTCATAAGAACTGTTCAATATGACCGTTTTCTGTAATACATAAATTAATTCTTCGCAAAAAATTGAAATGCACTCTAATCAGTATTCCTTCATTCTGCAAATTGTAAACATCATCATCAATCCTGTTCCACAGTTGCACTTTACTATCAATACCCAAAGAGTATATTTTCTGTTTTAAGGCCCTTTAAATAAAAAACTCTCAAGGATATAAATCTGCTGAAGGTGGTGGCCAGTGAATTGGATCTGTCTGGAACCTAAATATTTAAATGTTCTCTTACATTGCGATTGAAGTGAAGTGGTTTTCTGTCATGTATAAAATACATGTGAGAGTATTTTGCAGAAAATCCAGATAACTGTTACCATCGAGATAATTTAGTAGCCTAATAGTTAGTTGTATCTGCTTATTTTGATCATAGGAAACTGTGGTAGCTCCATATTCTCGGAATATCTAAAAATCTTTCAAAAAATATTTCACAACTACTGAATAAAATGATCAAAATTTTGAATTTTCTGAGACTATTAACTAATAGGATTATCTAATATATTGGGTGTGTGAAGAGAGCTTGATTTATTATCCTTCTATAAAAAAATCTTCTAATTAGAAATGCTGATTAAATACTGCAAACCTCGTTTTTTAGTACTTTATAATCGCTTAAAGGATAGTAATTAAATCAGATTGAAACACCTACACGTTTGATTTTCGGATTAAATTAGCGATGAGTTGCCGCCTAACGCGTGTGTACTAATTAATTTAACCGTTTCAGCTATCCCGATCGATACTTTCGTTTAATATTGGGAGCTTACAGTACATGAAGAGTTATTAACATAACCCATCAATCATCCTATAGGAGACAGCCGATTACCGACCGAGTAATCCTGCAATTTGGTACATTCGCAGTATTTACATTTTGCGCATCTGCACATCGCAGCCGAGAAAAACAAATGCAGCAGATCATTGTGGCATCTGTATAACACTACTGCAGCACAATTAGTCGCACTAGGGTCTAAACTTTATCTTATTTGTTCTGGCGATTTTATTTAATTCATTAGTTCATTCATTTTTTCTATTGTTTTTACCTGTAAACGTTTATATCAATTGTAAAGTGTGCAGCTATAAAATTTAATATAAATTCACATGCTGCTCCATTATAAATGGGATATACACCAACTGTCAGTTTAGGACACAATAACCTTATGCATCGTTACGAACAGTATCGCAACAACATTAATTCACGAAAAAACTGTTATTAGTTTCTCGAAAGGGAACTCATAAATTATTATTTATACTTTAATTATGGTATGTGGGAACTTAGAAATGTTGTACGTTCAGATATTAAACTTCAGGCACTTACTGTCCTTTTGCTCACGTAACTTTTAATGGGTTGGCCGTACAGGGTGTTACACTGTCACTCAACAATTCAATTCAAGAACAAGAAAACACTAGAACATCTTAAGGAAGGTTTTTTAATAACAATTTATACAATTGAATCAAATAAAACAACTATAACGCAACGGATTCAAATAAACAATACCAATAGCTACCTCGCACGAGACAATGTGTTTCCCAAGATTCTGGGAATCGAGACTACGTGGCAGAATTTGGAATTACGATATTACCCATTAATAAATTAACCCCGAGACTAACGTTAAATAGACCGGACAGTGTGAAAACCCAAGGAGGACAGCCTGATTGGGAATCTCACCGGATTTCAACATTTTTACTTCGATCCCGCCCATTTCGGGTTTTGTTATCAGTTTATCTGCCAATTTAGACTTTCAAGGGCAAACAGGGCGTTTCCTTTATGCCTTAGGTACTTGCTATCTTGTCGGTTCGACCTCCCTGCCCCCCTCATGAATCTTGGGAACGTTCTAGGCATGATTTTACTGTTTCATGTTAATAATTATGTAACAAAACTGAATTTACATAAAATCCTATTTATATACCTTCCTTCGCCATACGCCTCTGAAGAAGGGAAGCCTTCGTTGACCTAAATTTCGTTGTTTTTCCGAGAAAGAAAATACTTCGGCCTATTTTTGTGGGTACCTGAAGAGCCTGTGATGAACAAGTATCGGTTTTTCCTTCTTTTAGACCCGAAAAATGCTTGCCAGATGGCCAGAAATGTTTGCATTTATACCTACTTATTCAATATGTTTTCTAATTTCTTTGATGGCCTTTTTCTAAGTGTCAGCGATGGTTAAGTTTTGTAAATTTATTAATTTTGATGGCAAAAGTTTTGTAGACACGGCGCTGCTCATGTTTTTATCTGGAAACTCTAAATCTACTTGAAGCCTCTTATTTTTCAGTATTGTTACAGTACGAGTGGTCCTAAATCGTTCCAAAAAGTAGTCAATAACGCATTTTCGCTTTTGTTACAACATTGTGATTTAATCAAACTTAATTGGAAGTCAATGTTGAGAGAAACATGAGGTAGTACAATAATAATGTTTATTATAATTTTGTGTGATAACTTAAGTCAGACATTCTTGTATTTAAATGTAGATCCTAAAGGGCAGCACATCTGTTGCATATAATGTCTAAATCGAACACTAACCTCAGTTATTTATAATATGTTGTTGCGTGTTATTGTTGCTGATGATTAAAAATTTGGTTTAATTTACTTATTTTTCATTGACTTTAACAGTAGCTATACTGAACTTTGATAAAGCGAGAAACGTTAAGTCGAAACCAAAATTACAGAATTTAATACATAGAAAGCCGAATAATAAAAAATTACTTGCACATGCATTTCATAAGCAAAAATAATACATGCAGATGCAAAATAGAACGGTAAGTAAGTTAGGCAATGTCTTCTTTTTCTCTACTAGCTTTAATTTTCTTTTTTATATGATTTTTAGTATTTAGTACAATTATTTATTGCTTTTATATACGTCGTATCATCTCATAATTGGATCCTTTAAAATTTAGCTGGTGTATGTAAAATACGTAGTTAAATAAATTTAATTTACAAAGTGAACTTCAACACAGTCACACAAAAAAT